GACCTGACATGGGGCACCATTAAATGCTGGGCCACAAGCAGCAGGCTGAGAGCCTCCCTTCAGAACTGCACTATGGATGCAGGGAAGAGCAGCTGTAACATTTATTTCTCTCTCACTCTGCGGCTGTGGGGAGAGCAGATGGTCAGGAGCCAGGAGATGGGAGGCCAACATCCCCCACACAAGCACCAAGCCAGCAGCTTCTCACCCATCTGGCAAAGGACAGGGGAACCAATGGCCTGGAGGGGAAAAGGAGAAATACCTGGGGCTCAGAATGAGGGTGGCCATGAGGGCAGGCAGCAGAACATTTTTTTGGCGCCGGGCAGAATGGGACACAGCGTGTGCCACTGCACTTTCCCACACCCTGGCTTTCCCCTGCCCTCACAGAGACCGTCAGGCAGGATTCGTGCAGGAAACGTGGGTGAGAGGTTCCCCGAGAGCAGAGGGGATCCTGCACCCAGCCCAGCCTCCCTGCCTGCTGCGCTCGCCTTGACTCAGCGCGTGGGGAGTCGCGGCTGGGGATGTCCCAGGGCACCTGCAGGAAACTCGAGCTGAGTGTGGAGGTGGTGGTGCTGCGAGGGCAAGAGCTCTGATGAGCTCGGCAGGGGGAGAAGGCTCCAGGAGGGATTGCGCTGATGTTTTGGAGGTGAGGAGCTGCCACAGACCACGAGAGCATCACCTGCAGAGTCCACGCCTAAGGACAGGAGCTGTGGCAGCAGGAATGGGGCTGCAGTTTTTGGAAGAGGTGTGTTTTTGGGTGGAGGCTCCCTCCCATCCTCACACAGGACTCCAAGCTCTCCCCTGCACCAATTCCATCAGCAAATGCACTCAAACAAATGCTCTCCTGGAAACAACCTCCCCTACTTGACTTTGCTTTAACTTCCAGGCATTGCAGCTGCTCTTGCTTTTCTCTGCTGAATTCACATTCTCACCCCAATAAAAAAAAAATAAATTGTATTTGCTACCAAAAAAAAAGTCACTTCATTAATCTGAACCCCTCTGGCTTTGCTGTCACAAAATCCTGCTTGGAAAAGAGAAAGCTGCTGCAGTGCTGCTGCCTCAGAGGCTTTGGGCACTCCAAGACCTCAGCCAGGAAGGCCAAAACGTTCCCTCCTTGCCACCACCTCCACCAGCGTGTCCCAAGAGTGAGCAAGAGGGAGGAAAAAGGCTCTCAGCTCCCTTAGCTCCCCATCTCGGGCTGTGTCACCCCCCCAAAATATCACCTGCCATCATCAGCCCCTGGTATTTTGGGTATTTGACACAATACATGGGAGATAAGTTTGGGGACATAATTTTGTCATCGTGAGCCTCCAAGTGCTGCAGCTCCTGGCTCTGGCTCTGCTGGGAGATGTCAGGATGTTTTGTGAGGCCCAAACAAAGTTTCTGTGACCAGTTAAATGCTCAAATGGGCCTGCAAACTTCCAGTTTGGGTTGGGTTTTTTTGTTTGGTTGGTTGGGGTTTTTTTTTTTAGTGTGTATCATGTAGAATAAAATGGAAAGAAAATCCTGACTTTTTTTTTCACTGTAGAAGCCAGTTTTATTGGTAACAAAGTGATCCTTTTGTCTACATTTACCAAAAATTTTCTATAGAAAAGATATCTTTGGTTTCTGATGTCAAGAGGCATTTAAGAAAAATTGTAATAAGAGTGGAAGTTAGAAAATCTGGCTCTCAAAGGGCAACGTGCAACAGTGCATTAAAGGTGGTGTAGCACTGATTACTCTGAAGGATCAAAATGACCCTCAAGTTATTAGAATTTCTCATTATGCACTTTTGAGGAAAAATGTGGGCAATCCTCAGGCTGTGTGTTGGGGTTGTAGTTTTTCCTTCGTGGTAGTTGCAGTTACTTTGGATGAAAACAGTGACGACAGCTGTGGAAAAACCCACTCCAGCTTTATCAAATGGGCCAAGTGAGGCTTGCTATAATCAACAAGTGGTGTAATTCCATACAGAATATTAATTGCAATATTGGCCCCCTTCCAAAAGAGCTTTTTACAGCTCCATTGAAGCACTATTTGCTCTGATCTAACACTAGTTCTAGATGTTATTGCACTTTTTTTGCCATTAACTCTGTGAGGCAGAAGGGCTGCTCTGTTCAACACATGGATCATGCAGAACACTGCTCATTTCAGAGCCCAAATATAACATTTTATCATCCAGTGAATCTGAGATTTGCTTGGATAGAGCTCAATCTTGCACCATAGAAGTCTATGAGTATTTAATGAAAGCTAAACACGGCCTGCATTGATATGATTTATGGATTTGTTGTTTATATGCTAAAGGCTTCTTTACAAGGCTTATATCACCATATTAATTCCTTTAAACATGTCCATCTGCACTCAAATAATAAAAATACACATATGGACTGTAATGAAATACCACCCTGAACCATGCAGGGCAAGAAAATTCATGCTGCAACTATAGCAACTACTAAAATAGCAAAGCACACTGATTTCTGCCATGAACCTGTTCCTAATGTCCAAGAGACACTGTGTGCTGCAAGCTTTATATACCAGTTCCCAAAATATCCGAGTCCTGATAGGATGAGAAAACGCTGTCATGTTCCTGCACCAGGCCAATTACAAAGCTGTAGTTCCTGTGCTGGTAAAGATGTTTCCTGTTGATAACACAACAGGACAACACGGCACTCAGCTGCTAATGTTATCTGGCACCCTTGTGACCTCTTGGAAACTTGAACAATTTAGAGTCCACGACACGCAGAAGGCTCTCTCCTTGTGCTTTTGTTTGAATAAATAAGCAAGAAAATAAACACTTGTTCTGCAGTGTGCTCGTTATTGGGCAGGGAGTAATTAGAGGTGGCTGGAACGCAGAGGAGAGCTCAGCTCAAGGAGCAACAGGTTCCTACCTCTGATGCAGTGCTTGACTGATAAGTCCTTTTCTAAACAAATAAGGTGGAATTCTACGCTGATAGTACTTTTTGTCCGTTTAAAACACGCTCCTTTTCAACTTTATAGGCTGCTCTTTTTGGTGTTTGAAGATGAAAAAGCAGATTTCATTTGTTTATAATGTCAGCATTTCTGAACAATCCTCCTTCATTATCCTTTCCCTCAAGATTTTCCCCTCAGCTTTTATACTGAAGTCTCTTCAAACCCTTCCTGTCTGTGCAGTTTTGTCCCATTTCCTTGGCCAGACAGCAGCAGAGACAGGTACAGCTTGGAGCAGCGTTCCAGCAGTTTTAAGAAAATACTTCTTGAAAATATAAAATTTTCAAAATAAACAATTTTATAAAATATTATTATAATTATTATAAACAATTTTATAAAATATAAAATACACCTGAATCTGGGTGTATTACCTCCCAAAAACTGGCTGATTCTAACACACATTTGAGATCTCCTACACCCACCATCCAATAGATATTTGCCACAGTTTATGTAAAACCCCCCAAAATCTTGATCCTACAGAAAACTCAGTGCCCCTGGACTTGGTGGGAGCAAGTGGAATTCTTCATTCTCTGCTGGGGAAGAGCCAGCAGCTTCTGTGACCTCTTTAACTACTTAAAGAGGAAAAACCCAGATCAAGATTTGCCCCCTTTCTGATTTGGAGCAACACCCAGTTCTCATCAGTGCAATCCAGTCTGCCCATGAAGAATCACCCTGCAAAGCTTTCCCTCAAATCCAACAGGAACATCAGTGACCTGTAACCCAGTGGCTTGAAGAGCCATAAACAACAAATGGATGGATTTATCCCATGTGCCTGATTTCCCTAGGTATTCTTCTATCCCTCAAAATCTGTGGTGCAACCACCAAGCTGCCTCAGATGGTCTAAGAAATTCTCAGATGAGGTAGAGGACATTCCTTGAGAAGGATGGAAAAGGGCTTTTCCTAACTTACTAGAAAAATAAACCAAACCATTTTTAAAGCCTTATAATTGAATATAAAGCCTATATACTGAATATTTGGGCTTCAGTTCAGTGGGAAGCGTGAATGTTTTAAACATCCCATTGCTCTTCACCTGCACCTGCCCAGCTGGAATAGCAGAGGTAAAACTAGTCAGCATTCCCTGCTCCATTGTTATTCCTGCTGGAAAGAGGCAGAACTTCTTGCAGTGGTTTCCTTTGAGTGGTGCTTATTCACAGCAAGCCACAGTGGGAGTGGGTGGGAGGCAGAGTTCATTCATTTTTGTAGCATAACATAGAGCAGATTGTGTTTGGATTTCACTAGATATTTGTTGTTTTATGTTTCTTTGCTTTATGTTGGAGAAGGGCCTGCAACAAAACTTTGATCCAAGGTACAAATCCACAGCCAAGATTTGAACTAAGCCTACAAAACTTTCTCCAGAGCGGGCTGCAGCCCAGCACGCTGACTCCAGGAGCGTCTTGTTCTTCACGTTGCTGATCATTTGATTCAGGCCTGTTTCTGTTTATCTATTTGACCACCAGCCCACAAACAAACTTGGAGGCTCCATGATCTAGACCAACAATTTGTTGAGAGTAACTCCGAGTAATTAAAATGAAGTTTCATTGATGCAATGCTGCACCCTCAAAACCAATTTTCTTTCCTCATACCCAATCTAAACCCCATCTCTGTCAGGGTGGTGCCATTCCCCTTCTCCTGTCACTCCAGGCTCTTGTGAATTGTCTCTTTCCATCTTTCCTGCTGGAAGGTCACAGTTAGGTCACCCCAAAGTTTCGGAATTGGGATTCTCCCAGCCTTTCCTCACAGCAGAGCTGCTTCATCCCTCTGATCATCCTGGTGGCTCCTCTGGACTTGTTCCAACAGGTCTGTGTCCTTCCTGTGCTGGAGCTCCCAAAGTTTTCATTAATTCCCTAAAGTGCAACAGCTACACAAGGGAATCTCCTGCATAGAGGTGGAACTGTGCTTTAACAAATGCTGAGTCAAGACAACGTGCTGTAAGTTCAGGAGAAACAATTTTATCTGTGTGTAGGGAAGGCATGACTTAGAGAACACAGTGTACTGCACAAAATCCCCTGGAAAAAAAATTTTACAATTGTTTGTTTACAGTTTGACTTCTCCTGTAGCGTAAATAACATCGTTGTATAGTTAATTACCGCGGCAATTAAGATTATTCATATTGCCCCTTAACTTTGCTTTCTGCAAGGCCATCGACCATGTCAGGGCTGCTGAAGTGACAAACAGCAGTGGGTGTCAACCACAGAGGGGAAAAAAAAGCACTGAACATATTGCAACACTGCCTTTGGCACAAGAGAAAGACAGAAGTGCCAAGGTTTAGCCTTTTTATTTTCACAGAATAAAATCAGAAATAAACAGGTGCAATCTCCTAACCAGAGGCAAATCCACTCCAGATAAAGGCTGATGATCTCTCTTTACGTGTAGGGATGTTTTATAGACAAAACCAGCTCAGATTAGAATTGGGAAGCAGATATAAACAGTCCAAAGAGTATTCCAGCAGAAAAAGTTGCCAAGGGAGAAGGAAGAGCAGGAAAACCTTAAAAACACATAACAAATGACTCTGCACATGGAAGACCAAGGTGGAGTGAAGGTTTTCTAAGGCAGTCATTTTACTTGATTGGGAAGTAGGTTCTGGCTTAATTTATCGAGACAAAACCAGTTTTCCCTAGAGCTAATCAAGTGTGTGGGGGTGAAAAGGTCCTCTTTTTTTTGTAGTTGTTGGGTTGTTGGGTTTTTTTTTGTTGTTGTTGTTGTGGGGTTTTTTTTGTTTGTTTGGGGCTTTTTTGTTTGTTTGTTTGTTTTTTGTTGTTGTTGTTTGTTTGTTTTTGTTCTATCACACAGGAACTTTCAGACCACCAGCCAAAGTTTAATTTGTGACCTGGCAATGCCCAGCCCCAGTGTACAGCCCCGAGTAGCTGCTCCCGTGGTGCTGCACCGGGCCATCCCTTCCCTCAGCACCTGCACCTTGCAGGAGCACCAGCATCAGCCACATGAGAGAAAAGGCAAGAAATAAGAATATTAAAACTATCCAGCTAAACTGTGACATTGCTCAACTCCAAAACCATCACGCTGCATAAGGCTAAAAAAACCCTAATTTAATGCCATGTTTTGGGTGGTGTTTAATGCAGTAAAAGTCACTCAAATAGCTGTGCCTCCCGAAATCAGGAGGTCGGGCACACTGTCCGCACGGGCTGGCAATGCCATCTGCTGGCACAGCTGCACACACGCAGGAAAGCGAACTGCTGGGGCAGGGAGCGCCGCTGATGCTCCTGCAGAGACAATTATCTAATCAAGGGGCAATTAAATGGTGCGTAACGAAGCCTGCACCGGGGATGATGCTGCGAGGATGTCCAGGCAGCTGCCAACACAACTATGAAGCCACAGTGAGCTGGAAACGCAGATTAGACACTTCAAACGTGCAAATTGTCTTTTAAAAAAGTCTTTTTTGTATTAGGCACTTACCTGTAACACGGTGGCAAACAGTGAGCTGGAAACGCAGATTAGACACTTCAAACGTGCAAATTGTCTTTTAAAAAAGTCTTTTTTGTATTAGGCACTTACCTGTAACACGGTGGCAAACCAAGATATTTACATTTTATCACATTAAGCAGAGAATGAAGTTCAGTGAGATAAAGATTTAGCAGTTGGTCTAAGAACAAAACTTGTGGGGAAAAAAATTACTCACAGGATCAGAGAGTAGCTTGTGCTGGATGAGATATTGCAGCCAGTCTCACTCAGAGTGGAACAGCTCCCACTGGCCCAGGTGCTCCCAGCCCTGTCCAGCCTGGCCTTGGGCACTGCCAGGGATCCAGGGATCCCCTCTCCCAGGGAAGTTTCTTCTCAGTGTCCCACCCAAACCTGCCCTCCTTGTAGATCGAGAGCTGGAATAACATCCCTTGTTTGTGTCTTTGCCTCTGCACTCACATTGTAATGAGTGGATGAAAAAGAGGGGGGAATTTTGCTTTCTGAGTACCAATTTTATGGTGCATGGGTGGATTTTGCTGAGAATAGAAAAGTGAATTTGTTTTCCAGAATTTGGTAAATGAATCGGGCTCCCCTGCTTTTATAAAGTTCTCTTCCACTTCCACAGGCTTCACATTACAAGAGCTGAGCATACTTGGAGATCAGAGGCTACTACCTGGTGTAGATCAAACTGAAAAAAAGTCAGGCAAAGTACAAGTGAGTCAAAGAGGACTTTCTGCCCTTTATTACCTTCTGGACAAGCATGGCTGATGCCCCATCATCAAAACAGTTAAACTGCAACAAAACAGGAGAAAACATGGTTCTGGTCCACAAGATCCAAACTTCAAGAGGAAAACAAAGCTATGGATAGTCACATTTTACAGGCATAATTAGAGCAAACACTTGGAAAAATAAAGTCAGCAGAAAGTGATTTGTCAACCAGTTACAGTTTTAATATAAAAAGTTTTAGTCCAGTCATAAGCTTAATTGTTCAAATGAAAATGAGTAGTGGAACTGAAATCTTGAACAAGATGATTCTGTTTCAACATCAAGCTTTTTGGGTGACAAGCAGAGTCAGAACACACCTGCCCACACCCACGGCTGCCAAAACCTGGGTGTGTGCTTGCTGCCAAGCACCACCAGACACTGGATTTCCTGAGGCTTATCTTCTGTGATGTCACAGCAGCTGCAGCCTGGGGGGAGCTGAGCTGGTTTTGGCTAACTGTACACACAGGTGTAGCTATGTACAACAAGGATTCAGTGAGGACAGTGACTGAAATGCCTTCTCACTCTTTGTGGACACTCCTGGACTCTCCCACCAGTGGAGAATTTTGCACACAGTGTATTATCACATCACAGCTGCAGACATAGATATTTAGATTTTGATGGTGTAAGTTTAGCACCTCTCAGGAGTACTAAATTCAAGCTAAAACGTCCTAAAAGTTGTATAAAGAAAATACTGATAACCGTCACAATTTTCCTGAAAAAAAAACCTCACCAAAACCCAAAATAACTATGTACACCCGTGCCAATTGTAGCTTCTGAGAAAAAAAATGAAATGGCATGTAAAAAAAATAATACCTTTAAGAATAACATTGCAGACTGTTATTCATTCTGCCAGGAAGATACAGTAATAGCTGTTTACAAACGGACAAGACTGAGAAAGAAAACATCTCTCCTTAGGGCAAATGAAGTTAAACAATTCTAGCAAACTATAGCAAAAAAGGGGAAGTATTTGCCCTAAATTAACACAAAAGGCAAGCTGGAAGAAAGATGGCAACTGTATTTTTGTCGGCCTCTTCTTATGCAGTAACTTCCAGGAAGAGCTTGGAGTACATTACTGTGATCTGGAAAAAGAATCATAACACCCAATCTTCCTACCAAATCACATTCCCTCTACAAGTGTTCTGGTCTTTTAACACCTCATCTAAAGCTTTGTGCCTACATGTGACAATTGGGAATTTGTTTGATGAACAGAAATTTGAAAAAGCAAATACTGGTCAGTTGGCAGAGGGTTTCCAGGCCTGGGGTCACAAGGTTGGAACTCTTTCATCTGCATTTTGACTGACTGGAGGCAGCAATCCTGCTTCCAGAAACTCCCACAAGCATTTACTCCTGTCACCTCTTGTTCTCAGCTAACTTTAGTCTTTAGCAAACCCCTATTTTTGTTTCCAAACCTTTCGCTTGAAGCTCTTCTCTCAGATTAATTCCTTTGAAACCATGCAAAAAAAGCTAACGGTATTTTCTGACTTCAGATAATTTCAACTCATATTCTGCAATTTTTTTTTAAGTTAACAGAGCTATGAATGAGTTAAGGCACCCAAATGCCCAGAAAAAAAAAAATAAATACCTTGGGCTAAATACAACCAAGTGTTCAGCAGTCATTTAATTGCACAATCATCTCCCTAATTTGTAGCATAACGCTGCCAATGTCTTTAGGGATCCTAAAATACAAATATCAGAAACTCTGTGACTGTAACGGACAAGGCATCGACAAGACATTCCCAAGGTTCATTCTGGATTCCTGGCTCCTCCATGTAACTGCTACTCCTAATGTAATTAGCATTTAGCAGCAAGATCAGCATGTTCTAAGAATGAAATAAATATTCACACAATCAATACTAATGGTTCAAAAGCTCAAACACATTATTGAAATCAGTAAATTTCCAATCTTTCTTCTGTCAATTCAAGATTGCAGAAACGAGACCCTTGGCAACAACATTCACAGCTCTCAGGACCACAGCAGCTTCTGCAAATGAATTGTAGGCTTGAAGGTTTGGGGCCTGTGGTGCCTGTGAGGTTTTACTGTGTTCGGAGCTGGTAGTCTGCAAAGGGGAAAAAACCAACAAAAAACCCAATTTCAGTCATTTGTCTCATTGAAAGGAGTAAAGCAGAGCAGCAAGTTGGGATAAAGTGAAGAAATACATTCTTGCATTAATATATATTAATAAAAGAAGATGCAAAAGTATCAATAAAACACTGAGAGGGGGAATAGCCTTTAACTGAAAGAGGGAAGGGTTAGATGGGAGATGAGGAATAAATTTGTGCTGTGCAGGGGGTGAGGCCCTGGCACAGGTGCCCAGAGCAGCTGTGGCTGCCCCTGGGGCAGTGGGAGATGTCCCTGTCCAATAGCAGGGTGGAACAACATGAGCTTTAAGGTCCCTGACCACCCAAACCAGTCTGGAATTCAACAGTTCTATAAAATAAACTCAAATCTTTGCTTAGAATGGCCATGAGAAGCAAGGCAATTGTAGGCAGTCATGCTTAAATGCCAGAAAATTACTTAGAAAAACAGAAACAAAAAATAAGTGAAAAACAAATTTATTAAACAAAAAAAAACAAACCCCAAAAAAACGAAAATTACATGAACAATACCACCACAGCAACAAAAAAAACCCAATGAAACCAAACCCCACCATTTTTGTTGCTAAAAATCTAGTATTTTGTACTAGACAGTGTCTTATACATTTTAGAGCTGGCAGAATGATACGTGTGAGCATACTGCTAATAACATGTTTGTTTTTAAATTTACCAAATTCCAGCTCAATTAGAAAATACTTGAACAGCATTACCACTCTACCCCATTGGGTCCTTCATGAAGACACCAAAAAGGGGACTAGAAAAGAACCAGTGTAGTTTAATTGACTGTGTATCTAAAGCAGACAGCTCCATACTCAAAAAGAGCAGCTTCAATTTGTAGGTGTATTCTGGAGAAACAAAATTCCTCTCACCTCCATTCTGGGTGATGTACCTGACCCAGGGCAAGGCCTGGTAGCCACTCTTCTCAATTATCTTTAAGTAACGAACCTGGAAAGAAAGATCTGTAAGATATAAAGCCTCCCATGCTGGTAAACCTGTGTTTAGAAAAGAAGAAAAACAAAAAACCCGAACCTTTTGGGGGTAAAAATCTGTCTTGTGGATAAAACTGAAGAGGAATCATCAGGATGAGAAACACCTCGTGTGTTAGAGCCCAGCATGTGAATTTATCAGTATTTCTGCTTTCAAACACTGACCTGGATTCCTGAAGTGGTGAAATAGGGAATCTCAAACTTGACACTAATGGGAGGTTTTCCTTCCTTGTCTTCAGCTTCAACACTTGGAAGTCCAAAGTGAGCTCTCATCAGGTATTCTTTTCCACCCTATCCAAAAGGGACAATTTTTTTTTTCTTGGAACACAAAAAAACCCCAAAAAACCAAACCAAACCAAACCAAACCAACAAACAAACAAAAAAACCCCCAACAAAACAAAAAAAAAAAAACACAAAAAAACCCCCACCCAAAACAAACAAAAAAAACCACCAAACAAACAAACAAACAAAAAAACTTGCAATGATACAAGTAGTTTTCTAAACATCAAACTGCTGAACTCCACTATTGATTCCAGTTATTCTCCAGGGCTTCAAAGTGACATATATTTTTATTTTAAAAATCCTTTAAAAAAAAAAAAAAAGCAGATCCAGCCTGAGGCATAATTCATTTTCTTCCAGCCTCATACTCAAAAATTCACATTAAATAGTGCCACAGCTGCACTATCACACCATCAGCAGTGGGCAGGGCTCATGCTCATGGAACCACCCAAGAAGCAGAGCCTGACAAAACTCAACCAGCTGGTGCTAAAGCCAGGCCAAGGATTACACCACCCAGAGACATCACTCAAAAATCTGCTCTCTGCCTGGGTTCTGAAAAAATATCCAAGTGAAATGAATATAAACAACATCTATTAGCAGCTCCAATCTTTCATCATGGAAAAAGAGGAAGAGTCCACTGCTGCTTGTCTGATACCAACAGGATTTGCTTTAGGCAGAGTCTAAATGTGAATGAAATATTAGTCTTAAGTAATTATTACACTCTTTGGTGGTAAGAGTAAAAAATAACACTTACTGGAAAAGATTTAATGGACCAGACAATTTCACTGTTCTCTGGAACCCATTTGACACTTCCAACAGTGGTTTTAAACTTTGGCGAGTCTGCATCGTTTGGAACTGGGATGTGAATCTCCACATTGTTGGCAGTTGATCTACGCTTAAATTGACTCTTTGCCTGAAGAGGAAAAACAATAAAGCAGAAAAGCAGGGTCTAAGTACTTCCAGGATGCTGGTGAGCTCAGAGAGCTGTAAGACACACAGCTCCCCTCCACCCCAACCTGTGTCCTGAGAACCAGAACTGGAACTGAGGTCATAACTGACACATGAAGTCCTCAAAGGTATCCAAGTCACACAGAAATCCTGAATACTTGTACAAAAATGCATATACTGCTCCTCAAGCTTTGAAAACAAACCAAAGAAGACTAAAATTAGCCATAATTATTTAAGGATGTCTGACCTTGATCATGTACTCGATGCGGCTGTGGGAATGTTTCTCAATCACAGACTCAATCCAGATCAGGGGCTTGACCTGGTGGTGAAAACACACATCACAGCCCTGAGTTTCACTCTGACAGGGGCACTAACATGTAGCTTTCTCTTAAAACTACACTCAATGTGTGAACGACAGAGAAAAAGCAGCCTGGGGTATCCAAAATAACAGAATTGTGGTTATTTAATAAATAATTATACAAATGAGGAAGCACTGATATATCAATGAGCAAATGTACAAGAATTACAAGCTTAAAAATGTATGTCTCAAATTAATCCCTAATAACAAACACTTGCATCAGAAAATGTTTGATAGTTTTACATGGCAGGGACTGAACTATTTCTTTGCTATAGACCTTCTCTAGATCGAATTTTTTTACTTTTCTTTATCATCATGTCTGGCACACTCTAATAAAACTAAGTAACATAAATACTGTTGTTAACAAGCACAACGAACTGTTACACTGACATTATGCACTTAGATTAAAACCACAGTATTTCAAAACCAGTTTCAACAGCAGTTGAAAATACAGAGACTTATTGCTAAGTGAAGTCTGAACTTCCTTCTTCCTCCAGAAGGAGTGAGCACCAAGTTGTGCCATTAGCAGCTGACTCAAAAACCCATGTGCTGCCCATGTTTTAAGAGAAAAGCTATTGTGGCTACAATCTAAACCATTTTCTCTTTAAAAAGGCCAAGAGCCAGACTCACGTGGGTATTGAGACGATATGACATGAGCTCAAACTCCCCATCAGGTGGAATGAAGGAGATTGTCCTGTCGTTCTCAAAGCGAGAGAGACGAACGCACTGGTGGAACTTCACATCTTCCAGTTCTACTGATTTGCTCTTCCCACCTAGCAGAAAACACACAGGTCACACAAACCACGGCCCAAGGCTCACCACAGCACAGCTGCTGCCTGCTGACACTCCTTCCTTTTAGCCAAATTTCCAGGATCAGGGCAGTGACTGTCCCCCTGTGCTGGGCACTGCTGAGGCACCTCAAATCCTGTGATCAGTTTGGGCCCCTCACAACAAGGACAACACTGAGGGGCTGGAGAGTGTCCAGGGAAGGAAACAGAGCTGGGGAAGGGGCTGGAGCACAAGGAGCAGCTGAGGGGACTGAGCCTGGAGAAAAGGAGGTTATGGGGGAGCCTTCTCACTCTCCACAACTCCCTGACAGGAGGATGGAGCCAGGTGGGGGTCCCAGGCAACACAGGACAGGACAAGAGGAAATGGCCCCAAGTTGAGCCACTGGAGGTTTAGGTTACATTTCAGGAAAATTTCTTGACTGAAAGGAGGGCCATGCATTGGCACTGGTGGGGTCAGCACCCCTGGAAGTGTTCAAAAGGCCTGAGGATGTGGCACCTGGGGACATGGGCTAGTGGTGCTGCTCAGCAGTTGGACCTCATGAGTTCAGAGGGCTTTTCCAACCTTCCTGATTCTGTGATTACCATGCCACCCAGGCAAGCCAAAACCCAAGACTGCAGACAGCATGTGTGATGATTATCATGGCAGTGCAACACTCACGGCCTGTGTTATCAAAGAGAACTTTGTCATTCAGCCCAAGGCGCAGCTCTGGCATTCCTGAGAGGAAAACTCTCATTTTAATGGATCCAACTATCTCACTCCGTAACACGTTCCCGTTGGCACTGACCTGAACAAAGATGAAGAGGAAGGTAAGACATCTCTGATGTGACATCAAGAAACACTCCCACCCCATCCCCATGCCCTGGGTTTTCTTGGAAGTGTTTCTCATGAGGAATTAATCCAGCAGAGTGAATTAAATCAGGGACGTGAAGCAGCACAGAGAGGATCAAAGGACATATCCAAAACTCAGCAATTAAAGCATTATTTGTACTGGATTTCCTTGTGGGAACTTAATGATTACATTGCTCTGGGTGTCACAGCACACCACCCACAGTCAGACTTTCTACTGCAGGTTTTCACACAAAAAGCCATTTTTAACACTCCCTCTACAATTCTGACACAAAAGCTGAGGCACAAGGTACCCACCAAAAGGTTAACTGACTCTATGACATCCAGGAACACCTCGTTTTTCCTGTATTTTATCCCTTCTGATCTCCACGAGACAGCATTTGTAACAGTGGCAGGCGGGCGTGGGGCTCCAGTTTCAAGTTTGTGGCCTTCCTGAGTGATGTACCTTCACAAGCAGAGAATTGGCATGGAAAAAAATTAAAATTAATATTTTTGATAATTAGAACACACCGAAACATTTGTTTGCCTATGGAAAAATGCTCAAAACATCCCAAGGGCTTTGTCACTGTTGAGTGATACTTACTCTTGTAAAATTTTACTATCAGTGGTCTGTGGATAACCAAAATCCATAAGCTCGTCTAACAACTCATAAATAATAACAAAATTATCCCTAATGCTCTCTTCTTCCAACTCCTTGAAATATTCAGAAAAAACCTGAAATGCAACAAGAGGAGGGAGAAGAAGGACATTAGCTGAGGCAGCACAGCACATGCAGAAGGAATTCCTGCATCTAAAATAACGAACTGGTAAAGTTCCAACCCCACACTTCCCAAACAGCATCCTGCTCCCATCAGCCCCAGGAAACCCACCCAAACACACACAGAGAATCCCAGAAGAAACTACCATGAAAAATATTTATTCTGGAGCATTTCTCAGCAGGCAGGGATGACCTGTGTGAGGCACCACAACACAAGCACCAAGTCACAGCATCCTCCAGGGGCTCAGGTCTTGTGCAAGCACTTCCAGCCCCGTGCCCCATCCTCTGCCTACACAGCTACAAAACATCAGTGCCCTTATTTGTGGTTAAGAAGACACCTCTACAAAATAATCAAATATAAAGTAAAAGTGCTACTATTGAAGTTCTTAAAAATGTGAAAGCTCTGTGTAGTTCTGTTTAGACAGAAAAAACCCCACAAAGGTTACTTTTGAAATATACTCACCTGAACTACTTTATATAAAAATGAAAACACCAGTGATACACAAGCATTTTTCTTAGAAGTTGCAACAACTGATGGAGGATGTTCAGGAATGTGCATTTTAAAAAAAAGTTTACTAAGGGCATTTTAAAAAATGCCTAATTTTAGGCAAACAGAATTGTCTAGAAGAATTGTGCATTAACTACTTAACAGCTGGATCTGTTAATTAATTAATGCACAATTGATCTAAGGAGATATGAAAATAAACATTCAGGAAGTCATTAATTAGAGTAAAATTAAAACACTTTTCTGGACCTTATGCTGCTGGTGCACATGACACTATGTAAAGCACAAACCCCTGATTTTATACAATCAACTTTACTGAACTCAGCCTCTTCACACCACTTCACCCATTCTCCAGCTTGCATTCTGACATGAAAAAAGCCAAAGCAGCAGCCCTTGGCACATCTGCAGCACAAAGGATACGGTACAGGTTGTTGTGTTTAATCCACATGAAACGAACTCCTCCGTGTGCTAGGATAGGAGAAAGTGTCCCCTCTTCTTCCTTCTCCATGAGGATTGGCATGAAGTGCTCCACCTCGGACATGTCCACATCGCCGCGGTAATTCCGACAGATCAGAACCTACGAGGAGAGCAACCGAATCCTTCTTTTTTCTCTTTCATAAGGACGTTACCATGCAAGCCACAGAAACGCCTGAAAGGCGCCTCTGACACCACCCAGCTTCCCTCGGGCCTCCCTGCGTTCACAACGCGAAACACTCTGCCGGTCAGAACGCGAGCACCAACATTTCATCGCGAAGTCACGTATTAGTATTTTCCAGATTTAACCCTCCCCGACTCCTTCTCGCGCTCTAAGAACGATTTTCGGAGAGGAAAACACGCAGCTCCGCTGAGGCAAAGCGGCTACAACACCGGCAGAGGTGAATCACCCCGGGGATGCCGCCTCACCGAACATCCCCACCACGGAGGGGCTACAGGCCACCGCTCCGCTGTCCCCGCCCGGGGCTGGCAGCCCGGGAAGCGGAACGCGGCGCCCGCAGCCGCCCAGAGCAGCGGAACCAGGCCTCACCTTCCCCTTGAGGTCCAGCACATAGACGGCGCTGGCCGACATCGCCCCGGCCGGGCCGCGTCCCGCCCGCCTTCCGCTTCCGCTTCCGCGGGAAGTGACGCCGCGGGCCGCAGCGCCGGCCGCGCGCAGCGATACGCGCGGCGCGGCGGAAGGACACGGAGGTGACGTTAAGGAGTCCCGGTGGCGCTGTTCCAGCCCCGCGCGGACCGAGGGGCTCCGGCACACGCCGAGCACCGGAGCCGCATGCGGGCTGAGGACAGTGCCCCGGTGCGAGCGGCGCGTTAGGAGCTCCAACACCGGGGTACGTGTCATCCCTCAGAGGGGGAAGAGTCACACTCCGCGCTCCCCGTTTCATGCGAGTTTCAGCACCAGAAAAGGGATGGAAGCAGCGTTTTAATAAATAACACCGAATTTACAAGTTGCAGCAGACCCCTCTGAGAGAGCTCAAGGTAGAAATTACATTGTTGGTAAGGCAGAAATAATACTGTTTTCCACAAAAATCGGCTTCAGTCCCAGTGCACAGCAAGCCAGTAATTACACATTCCAGAGACACGCTGATGATTTATTTCAGAGCTGCACAAGCCTGGAGGCTCGGTGGGATCCCAGAAATCCAGCACATCAGCTATCAAAACTCGGACATCACTCACAGCTGTTGGCTGCTCTCTGTTTCATGGATTAGGCTTGAAAGTACACAAAGATCAAAGATCAAAGGATATCCTTTCGTGAAACAATTTTACATACGTCACATTTTGCAACGTGGCCTCTGACAGAACTTGATAGAAAGTAATTATACAATTCACATAACTTACAAGAGAAACTTAAATGTGAGCCTGTCAGATTCTTCACCTCAAAGAGGGAGAACTTTTAGAACCAAAGAAATAAAGGAATGTTTTCCATCTGACTCGCAGCTATTAGTTTTGGCCTTAATCTCACTATAAACACTAAAAAAAACCAGCCCTCTGCATCGACATAAACCAGAGCTCCTCAGCCCAGAGGAGACATTGCTGCATGTTTGGTTTTATAAAACAAGTCTATAAAATAAGACAGTATAAAGTCATAAAAGCTGAGAAGATGTATTAGACAATATGGAGAAAAGACAGATTTACATGGCAACCCTGCTTGATACAAACAAAACACAACTCCAGCTCCAGAGCCGTGGAAAGCAGCCCGGTCATTTAGTCCAGCTGACTTTGGGAATGTCGTAATGCTCAGTCAGAGTATCCAAGTGCCTGTTGAAGTCCTGGGGGAGGGAAAGAGAAAGAAAACGGGTGCTGACATCACCGAGTTGAACCACAAGCCCCGCTGCGTCCCGGCTTGTGTCTGACAAGGCGGAACACTTCCTTCAGCCAGCAATAAACACGCCGGCCTGAGGAGCTGGGGATGGTTTTGCTCACCTCCACTCGCTGCTTGTGGGTTTTCGATGCTTTCTTCAGGATGCGCTCCATTTGCTGTAGGAGACAGAAGGGCCGGTTACTGCCGGCACTCGCAGCCCCCTCAGCACCCCAGGGCTGACGGGGGTTTTTAAAGCCTTACCCGCTTCTCCTGCATCTTCTCGTAGGCCACCTGCGCCGGGGTCCGCTTGTCCAGCCCGCGCTTCTTCTCCTCCTCCTGCTTCTTGCTGCTCACGATCTGCTCCAGGATCTGGGCCTTGTCTTTCGCCTTCTTCTTCTTCCTGCGGGGAGCGCGCCCGGTCAGCGCCCAGCCCCGGGGCTGTGTGTCCCCTCCTCGCCCCCCGTTCTCCCGGCCCCTCCTCGCCGCCCCCCGTTCTCCCCCGGTTTCCCCCGACGCCACTCACCGCTTGCCGGCCCCCAGGGCCCCGCCGCTGCCCTTCAGCCGCAGCGGGCCGCGCTGCACCGCCTCGTAGTCCGCCATGGCGGAACGGCCGCGCCCGCGCCCCCTGCCGGCACCGCCGCAACGGCGCGGCCGCGGCCGGGAGCCGCGCTCGAGCCCCGCCCGGCCGCTCCGTGAGGGGAACCGGGGCGCCTTGCGCCGCCGTGAGGGGAACCGGAGCGCCTTGCACCTCCGTGAGGGGAACCGGCCCCTCCGTGAGGGGAACCGGAGCGCCTTGTATCTCCGTGAGGGGAACCGGACCCCTCCGTGCAGGGAATCGGTGCGCCTTGTATCTCCGTGAGGGGAACCGGCCCCTCCGTGAGGGGAACCGGGGCGCCTTGCACCGCCGTGAGGGGAACCGGCCCCTCCGTGAGGGGAACCGGAGCGCCTTGCAACTCCGTGAGGGGAACCGGACCCCTCCGTGCAGGGAATCGTTGCGCCTTGTATCTCCGTGAGGGGAACCGGCCCCTCCGTGAGAGGAATCGGTGCGCCCTTGCACCGCCGTGAGGGGAACCGGAGCGCCTGAGGGGAACCGGACCCCTCCGTGCAGGGAATCGTTGCGCCTTGTATCCGCCTTGCAACTCCGTGAGGGGAACCGGACCCCTCCGTGCAGGGAATCGTTGCGCCTTGTATCTCCGTGAGGGGAACCGACCCCTCCGTGAGAGGAACCGGAACGCCTTGCACTGCTGTGAGGGGAACCGGCCCCTCCGTGAGGGGAACAGGGGCGTCTTGCACCTCCGTGAGGGGAACCGGAGCGCCCTTGCACCTCCGTGAGGGGAACCGGCCGCTCCGTGAGGGGAACTGGGGCGCCTTGCACGTCCATGAGGGGAACCGGCCCCTCTGTGAGGGGAACCGGGGCACTTTGCACCGCCGTGAGGGGAACCGGGGCGCCTTGCACCTCCGTGAGGGGAACCGGCCGCTCCGTGAGGGGAACTGGGGCGCCTTGCACCGCCGTGAGGGGACTGGCTTCTCCGTGAGGGGAACCGAGCCTGCCGTGACCGCCGTGCACCTCCGTAGGGGAGCCGGGAACGAGCCCCGGCCGGCCCCTCTGTGAGGGGATCCGGCAGTGAGCCCAGTCCGGAGTTACCTTCGTGAGGGGAACCGAGCCTGCCGCGACCGCCGTGCACCTCCGTGAAGGAAACCGGGAACGAGCCCCGGCCGGCCCCTCTGTGAGGGGATCCGGCAGTGAGCCCAGTCCGGAGTTACCTTCGTGAGGGGAACCGAAATGGGACTTGCAAAATGTGAAATATATCAGGGTTATTTTAAATTAGAATGTTTTTTCATGTAAAGTCTTTGTATGCTTTCAAACCTAATCAGCAAGAAAGGAGACGTAATGAGTGGGAAGACAGCAGCTAGCAGCCCTTAGTCAAGACATATGGGAACTAACAAGCTTTAGGGATGTAGTAAATCAAAATGTTGATGTGTGTGTGTGTATACATTGATAATTTGGCAAAGGACTCGAGGGCTGTATATCCTACAGCTGAACTATCTTCATTATAATATTTAAGATCATGCCTAAGGGTCAAAAAGACCTTGCCCAGGTGCAGACCCTTCCCCAGTGCATGTGGAGAAGTTAGCTGGCGATTGGCTAACTTGTATGGAAATTACTAAATAATCTTAATAGAGGGGCTTACCTTGGAAGAAGACTAACTCTGAACTTCTGTAAATAATGGTGTGGAAAGTCCAGTGGGGCGTGTTGGATTTGTGGAAACCCACCAAGAATCCAGGCTTGTGCAAATAATGCCTCTCTCAAGTGTGTAATTATTGGCTTGTTGCACACCACATAATAAATCTGATTTTCAGGACAACAGGATGGAATTGCCTTGAGGAGAACACCTGGATATCCAGGCTACACCAGGAGAAAGCAGCTCCATCCCTCCTCACACTTCTTGTTCCACTCTAAACAGAACCATTCCAGGTTGTTTTTGCTATGTGAAGGTGCCCTGAGGAGCAAGCCTGCCCCAGGACCAGATCTTCCACCAGCCAGTGACCCAGAAACTTTACAGATCCATGAAAAGGCAGCCTGCCACATGCTGTGCGTGTTCCTCCTTTTTTCCCCTCGTTTTTCATCTTTCATACAGCCTTTCATAGCATCACATTTCTGTTCACGTGCATGAACGATACACTCACACATCTTTTCAGTGTAAAGGCCATATATGTATCAGTATGGATGGATGTCCATAATAACCATTAATTAGCAGTAACATACATCAGCAGATGATGCAGAAGAAAGGGAGAGAGCAGCCTCGATGCAGACCACCTCCAGTACAAGGTACCATCAGCATTATGTATTTTACAGTGTGCATTAAAGGAAAATACTGGCACGGGCTGCCTAGGACAGTGCTGAAGTCACCATCCCTGGAAGTGTTCAGAAAACTTGTGGATGTGGCACTTGGGGACATGGTTTAGTGGGGACCTTGGCAGTGCTGCATTAATGATCTAAAAGGGCTTTTCCAACCTTTATAATTCTGACCCTATAAAACGTGAGAAGGAAAGGAGGAGGGGATACCAAATTTCCATCTTTGGCGTTAAATTTTAAAGAAAGAAAACACTGCTAACACTTTTCAGTTAATTCACCATATCTGAAGGCATGAGGGAGCAGGGCCCACTGGGCTGAAGGGCACTAATGAGCAGCTATTACTTATTTGGCTAAATCCTGTAACCCGAGTCTTCGTGGTGCACACAGGAGACGGGTGAATGCTGCTGGGCAAGAGCCTCGAGCAGCCACACTAAAGATTTGATGAAATGCTCCTATTATGATACTTTGCAGCCTGCACAAGTTACAGGATACCTGATCCTCTGCTGTACCTGAGCCTCATTGTTGCAGCTTTTAATAACTGAATATCCAGACGACCTTTAAAGGTGCCTTTGAGGAAAGAACTGACGAGAGTCGGTATTCCCAGCTCAGAATGGGCAACAAGCAAACCATTTTCACTCAGGAGCAGCTGGATGCGTATCAGGTATAAAGCAAACTGAATGGCTCTTTGGGCAGGACGTTAAATAATGGCAAAGGTGTTGTTGGGTTTTTTTAAAAAACATCTCTTAAAAATTAGTAAGCAGAAGTACTGAATTGCAGCAAAGATTTTAGGAACGTAGTTTGATTTTGACATCAAAAGGAAGGGTTATAAGATATGCCTAATTTTATGCCAAAAAGAAATCTTAATGTTTACACATGTACTACAGTATAACTTCTTTTAAGTCACTGCATGGGAAAAGTTTGGGCCAGTGCGTGCTAAAAACTGTCATTTCGTGTTATACTTTTTCTTATTTCATAGGACTGCACATTTTTCACAAGGAAAGAAATTTTGAGGTGAGTTTTCTGTATGCATGTTGTGAATAAAGGGCAGAGATTGCTGTAAAGGCAGGTTGCATATGGGATAAGGTATTTAAAAAATAATTTAAAATTTATTTACACAAATTTAAAGTGATACTTTGGGGCAATCTGAGCATTTTTGTTGCCTTTTTTAAAATTTACAAACCTTATCCTAAACTGAGTCAGAATTCTA